AGTTAAATAAGACAAGGAATAAACAAATAAATAACAAGTCATATAAAACGATATAAATAAAACATATAACAATGATACAAGCACACTGTTCGATAACATAGTAGCTAGTCTAAATAAAAAGGTATTTTATAGAATATAATGAGAAGAAAAAAAGAAAATGGAAAGGAAAAAAAAATGATCCTAAGACAATTGTCATAAACAAGGTGTATCTCCTGACAGCAAGTCATTTAACTGATTAACAAACCTGTTTTGGACATTTCCTCTATCTTAGTAAACTCGTAGAAAATATCTAGCCAATCGTAGTCCATTATCCTACAGAACTGAAAGTAAATCTTGGATAACAAGATAAAAAAAATAAAGTAATTTTGTTCATTTTAGAAGCTTCGGTCTCCTTTCTTTCTCGTTCTTATGTTTATTTTCCCCCATTGCGGTTCTTGGGAATTTTTCATTGGGATGTTAAACCAAATTAAAGCGTTGCAGTACGTTTTTTTTATTTCATGCAAATTCTGGTCGGTTTTAGAAATGTAACTACCAAGAAAAGCGTAAATAAATATTAAAAGGAAGATGGAAGTCATTCGCATACTTAGTTTATAAATGTTGTTTACAAAGTTTGTGTTCAGTTTAGATAGCTAATAACACTGGTTTGCAAATACTTTTTATTTCTTTCTAGGCAAGCATGTGAATAGATGTTTGTTTACTAATTTTGATGTGGTGAATTTAAATTTCTGAACAGTTTTACTCTATCACCTCTAGCTCTTTTCTACTTTAGCATATCACATTTTTATTAAACTGCAACTCAAGACATGCTTATTGTATCTATTAGAAAGGTGTTGTATCGCCGAGGTAAATGATACACAAAGAAGAATGTGTGCTTAATATATTTATTCAGCACCAATATCCGATTTTAACGGATACATACTGTTGTACAGTAGCTAGCACCCCTTAAGCATTTAACCAGATGGACTTGCTCATAGCCTTAAATAGTCTACGATTAAGGACTTAATTGGTTTATTAATAAGTTGAGACTAAGCTGATTAATATTCAGTCTGATCTTACTTCGTCTGGCTATACAGCATTTGACCCTCATCTATTCTTTGTAAGTTGTCTTGTTAAGTGCAACTTATTGTTCTGTGTTTTATGTACGTGTTGTATCGTTGAGGTGAATGATACACAGAGAAAAATGAGCGATTAATATATTTATTCAGCACCAGCATCCGATGCTAACGGACAAATACATAAAACACAGAACAATAAGTTACAAAACAATAAAACAACTTACAAGGCATAGAGGAGGGTCAAATGCTGTATATCCAAACGAAGTAAGATCAGTCCGTATATTAATGAGCTTAGTATCAACTATATTATCGTGCGTAAATTGTACAAATACGGCACAAGGCCAAAAAGGGGTAATAGGGAAAAGGATGGTCATCATCCGTCTTAAGATTAAACTTAGCTTATCACAATCACTGACCCAGACATACAAACAATATTCCTTTCACCAAAACAACGCATTCTTACTTGCCATTCTTTCTTCATCCACCATAATGCCTCAGAAACTCTATGAAATCCTAACTATACCTCATATTTACAAATAATTGTCTGTGTGAAGGGGGAATAAAAATAACAATTTAAAATCTAAAAACCCTAATGAGTATTTACATATGAGTACAAAAATTATATACAAGAAAGTAAACAAAAATTTTGTTAGTAGTAACAGCTTAGTATCAACGATATTTATTGTACTTGAAATGTACAAATACGGCACAAGGCCAAAAGGGGAGAAATGGGGAAAAGGATGGTCATCATCTGTCTTAAGATTAAACTTAGCTAGTCACATTCACTGACCCAGACATATAAACAATATTCTTTTCACCAAAACAACGCAGTCTCACTTGCCATTCTTTCCTCAACCACCATAATGCCTCAGAAACTCTATGAAGTCCTAAACTAGTCCCCATATTTACAATTCATTGTCTTTGGGAGGAGGGGAAATAAAAATAATAATTTAAAAGTCTAAAAACCCCAATGAGTATTTACATATGTATACAAAAACTATATACAAGAAACTAAACAAAAATTTTGTTAGTAGTAACAGCTTAGTATCAACTGTTGAAGTCCTTAATCGTAGACTATTTAAGGCTATGAGCCAGACCATCTGGTAAATTTCTGAAGGGGTACTAGTTACTCTACAAAAAGGTATATCACAAAGAAACAGTATAGATATAGAGAATTACTTTGATAATACCATAATGCAGCAAGCAGTCAGAAGTAAGTTTTTAGAAGTTCTCGTGTTTTCTGTCTCCGGTATATCGCGCAGGACCATCTAGCAGAAATGCCCCATCATGCTGTGGTTCTACTTGCGTTGATAGTTTCTTTACATCTTAGTAATATGTTGGAGGAACCTTTCCCTATGCTCTTCGCTGACTACTCTGAGGTTGGGAGAACTTAAGGTGGGACTGGAGAAAGTGAATTTTGAGTGACATTCGGCATTCTATATCCTCATAGGCATGTAACAAATTCTCGATAGACACTTGGTAATCTGGTACCAGTGTGTTGCCAAAAAAAGTCATGCCATAATGACCTGAATGCTTCCCATTCTCTCAGTTCACTTAAGGTAAGAAGCTCCTCAGCTACCTTATCATGCAGTGCTTCTCGGATCTGAGCTCCGATGGAGATGCCATCTTTGAGCTTAGCAGAATTGAATGATGGGAATAGAGTGCACAGTTGTTGGCAGTCAGTAACATTTTTGTCCAGAGCCTTCACCAAATTAGTCATCTGAACAAGCTTGGTATGAAAAGGAGAAAGAAGAGGATTTTTTGACACGGTTTTCAACAAGCGCTTAAGTCCTCCTAGATCCTCAGTAGCTCGCATGCTTGGACACAGCTTGACTGTCACAGAGACAGAGAAAGCAACATTACTTTGTGAATCCCACTGGTATATCCATAAGAAGCCCAGAGATCTTGGAGTCCTCACAGAGACTCCTCTGGTACTGCTTGTACTTGGCAGATTCCAAAAGGAGCTCCAAATGTCATGTGACTCATTCAAATGAATTTAATAATAGTAATGCTGAGGTATTTATTCCTATTATGCAGGAAAACAGCCTTAAGACTTCGCTTGGAAGATATGAAAAGACGCCAATCTGAGGGATTATGCTGGAAGCCAAGGAAGGTAAACAAGCCAGAGACATTTGTATAATAGCACAATCTGTTTTTCTTAAGTCGAAGAATGATGTGAATCATTATTCCGTGTCCGGAAACAGGTGATCCTTACATCTGTAGTGACCTAGTTCACCTACTTAAGCCGGGTTGCCAGAAATACTGCTTATATAGGTACAAATCACAGGCAATGTCATTCAGGTTTTCCTGGGTGATCCAGTAGGGATCACTGCCAGTTTCCCCTGAATAAACAGATTGTCTTCAGAAGGGATCGACTTAGCAGAATTTTTCTCTGAAGGCAATTCTTCATAGGATGACACAATAAGATCTGTGTACTGGCGGTGTAGGGACAGAAAGATCACCTGAATGGGAGGCAGGTCTCATTGATGAGAAGAAGGTTGACACTATTCAAACTTTGCTTAATCAACTTAGCTCTCCGTAGCCGATTAGGTTAAGACTCATTTGATCTAGCGATGGTTTCCTTCTGCCCAGAGGAACGCAGGTTCGAATCTTGTCGGAAACCGCATATCTTTCTTTAATAACATTTCGGGAACATTCAAGCCGGTAGACGAAAATAAATAAATATACTGTTTAATAAATAAACGGGGTGTCTATTTAAATATGAGTATCCACTGCAGATAACGTTTAAAGTGACAAAAAATCTATCGGATTAATAAATGAAAATGGATTACATTAAAAAATTAAAATTGACGTCCATTTTTATCTCAGGTAAACGACTGTGCGACGAAAACCCGATGGCTTTAAAGGTGCTTGAATCTTACCTATAAACTTAACCTTCACTAATTTCGTTTAATCCCAGTTCTATTTCATCACACCTGTATTATTCTGGGAAGCGTTTTAACAGAAGACGGACAGTGCGACAGTGAAATCCGAAGGCGCATTTGGATACCGAAATAAGAAAAGTATTAAGAAACAGAAAAAAATTGTTAAAAACAAAGAAATGAGTACTGAGTATCAGTCCTCGTATATAGCAGTGAATACTGGACAATGTCCTCACAGATGAAGAAGACACTTGAAGCAATAGAAATGTAGTTCTATAGAAGGATGCTGAGAAAACTATGGGCCGGATATGCGAGCAATGACGATGTTTTAGAGTAATTGAAAACAGAAAGGACGCTTAAACTTAACACCAGGAAGAGACAGTTGACATTTCTAGGCTACATAATGAGGAAAGAGGGGTTGGAAAAATTGATACTCACAGGACATATGGAAGGCAAGAGGGACAAAGGAAGACAACACATAACGTAACTAGCGAGATTGACTAAATTGATTGCGGAACAAGGTTTAGGAGAGACTACAGAAAGAGAAATTTCATTAAGAAGATAGGACATTATAGGGAACCATTATCACTAATGTTCTGAAGAGACACGTTACCTAGAAGAAGAAAAATTATTATTATCAGAAGCAATACCTTTATTTATCAGCTTAGAACTGAGTCAGGAATATTATATGATTGGCTATGCAAATACACATTTATTGACACCGTATAAGTTACCCCATATATATATATATATATATATATATATATATATATATATATGTGTGTGTGTGTGTGTGTGTGTGTGTGTGTGTGTGTGTGTGTGTGTGTGTGTGTGTGTGCGCGCGCGTGCAAACAGGCATCACAATATATTTACTAATATTCATCATATATTTGGAACTGTTCATCTCATCGCTTCTCATCAACGACTGCCAAGCGATCTTACTGAAACATTGGCTTGATAAGCAAACGATATATTTGTAGAAGCGTTGCCATGATAAATGACCTTTCCTCTTTGACGTATGACTCATGACCTTCTTCAGACTGCTTCCCTTCGCATTGTGTAGATCCGTGGTGCCACATTTGACAAACGGACAAAAGAGTCGAGGACGACCAAGTCTTGGCAAGGTCGGCGTACTCATCAAACTCAGCGAAGCGTCACGCAACAATCTATCTCTTTGCATATCTATCTATCTATCTATCTATCTATCTATCTATGATATTATTTTAATTATCTATCTATGCATTTTTTCATTAACTATCTATCTATCTATGATATTATTTTAATTATCTATCTATGCATTCTTTCATTATCTATCTATCTATCTATCTATCTATCTATCTATCTATCTATCTATCTATCTATGACATTATTTTAATTATCTATCTATGCATTGTTTTCATTATCTATCTATCTATCTATCTATCTATCTATGATATTATTTTAATTATCTATCTATGCATTCTTTCATTATCTATCTATCTATCTATCTATCTATGACATTATTTTAATTATCTATCTATGCAATTTTTTCATTATCTATCTATCTATCTATCTATCTATCTATCTATCTATCTATGACATTATTTTAATTATCTATCTATGCAATTTTTTCATTATCTATCTATCTATCTATCTATCTATCTATCTCATTATTTTAATTATCTATCTATGAATTTTTTTTCATTATCTATCTATCTATCTATCTATCTATCTATCTATCTATCTCATTATTTTAATTATCTATCTATGAATTTTTTTCATTATCTATCTATCTATCTATGTATCTATCTATCTATCTATCTATCTATCTTGTTTCTATAATAAAAAAAACAAAAACAAACAAAAAAAAACAAACAAAAGAAAAAACCAAAAAAAAACCCAAAAAAAAAACCAGGCGTGACCGCTTTAATTTCTCCTCTCTTTTGGGTCATAATTTTTCTATTGATTACGAGGGAACAGTAGTCTTTTAGCTAAATAACCCGTCGTTCTGTCTACCTTGTGCTCTTCCTGAAATGAATTATTTTGACAGTCTCCGGTCATTGCCAGCATCACCCAGAAAGTTCTGACTGCTTATATGAGAGGCTCATTTTTTTCTGCTTGTTTTAAACCATTTTCAACTTCCTGAAACAACAAGAGAAGAAACAAACTTGTCAGTTTCTAAATGTCTGCTATTTTATTTCTTTTATTTCTTTGATAGTTTTGTGTTGTTCTGAAACTATACAGGGTGTTCCAAAAGTCACATTGCCATTGATAACCTTGCCAAATAGAATCATATTTCTGTACGTGACAATATATTAAGAAATTTCATTGGTCAAATTATGGAAGATGATGTAATGCAAATTTTTCCTGGTTGCTATTTCAGAATCGTATGTTTACTGCCAATTGTCGCCTGACTTTTAAAACACCTTGGAGATTAAATAGTTCTCTTTTTAACAGATACTGAACAAACCTAAGATCTTAGTTGCAAATGAGCGAAAAGCTTGAATTTAGGTTAAGAGTTGCTTTGGACGAATTATATTTTATAAGAAATGCAATCACACGATAGGGTACGTGCTAACAACACCAAGGGCCTTCTGAAAAAAAAACCTTAAAAAAAAACAAAAACAATAACAACAACAAAAAAAATAACAAACAACTGAAACTCAAATAGCGGAAAAAGATGATCTAGCCGACCACAAGATGAACCCTTCTTCTATGTGCTGTGTCACTTCAGGACGTGTTTTGTTATGACTCCCCACAACTTCCCCTTCTTCGTCGTTCTTAGTAAATTTTATTCTGTCTCTCCTTATCCCTGTTCTACTATCTATTTATACTTGCTTATTAGGTATTTTACTTGCTGCTTTTCTTTGTCCCTTCTCCCATCAATGTCATGTGAGTGTCACAATCTCCAAACCCACTTTCCTCATTATATATCCTTGTAATTGCATCTCTCTCTTTCTGATTCTGAGTGTAAGCATCCTTTTTATTTACATTTAATTAAAACTTCCCCATTACTTACGTTTTCAGTCCATGTTATTCTCAGTATCCTTCTGTAGTACCACAGCAGCAACAACTAAAAAGGATAGCGCATGTAAACCGAAGAGAAAATAATGTCATAATTAAGATGTAGACATTCCAAAACACAAATAATAGATTAGCAAACTATTATTTTTAGAGGAAGTGTATCTCTGATCGGACTTCTTGAGGTTGACCTTCGAGGTCAGATGGATGACAAAACAATTTAGTGGATTTTGATTGGCTAAGCAAGTGTGAGAACGATAGATAGAAAAAGGAATGTAGACGTGATATCTTTCGTGTCTGAAACGGATCCCCAGTGGAGGGAGAGCGATCCTACTGGATAGTTAGAAGAAGTATACGTCGACGTTAATAAACTAGATTAGTTAAAATTCCACGTGCTAAATTTCTTTTATCTCTGGACTCACATCAACTAGCGATCATCGGCAGTGAGCGAGAGGAACGTAGCTTTATTATCAAACAGATCCCGTCTCCCAAGAACTCCTCGGCACGAGAGGGCTATACAACACTACTGAACTTGAGAAACCTGTCTTCTAAAAAGTGTTTTAAGAGAAAATATTTTTTATAAATTTCAAACGAAAGCAGTATTAGCTACTCGATCGATAAATTCCAAATGTTTCCTTGTAGGGAAACGGCTATTATTATCATTACCATTAACATTGTTTCAATTTTTCTCATCCTCTGTTAAGTGATTGCCCAACATTCGTTGCCTCAGAGGAGTAACGATATTACATACGACAATGAAAAACTTAACATGGCAACACCCTAGATGTGCAGTGTTGGTGGAACATCAAAGGGACGGTCGTATTCATACTAAGTGAGGCACTAGGAAGCATCTGAACATATAAAGCGGGGGTGGTAGCACATGAATTATCGTCCTGGGTATGAAGATAAACTACATCTGGCTGTAAGTTTTAATTCTGTTATTCCCCGGACCACCCTGACCCTGGGTGTTAGCACCTGCTAGGGTCCTAGCTATGGGCAAATAGTGAACTCCAAAACTAAAATCAACAGCTCATTTTTGTAACAAAATGACGAACAATACATTTTGCGAGGTCGTTACGCGTTCACGACAATCTTAACCTGTTCAAGTCAAGGGTTAATCCTTATCTTCCCCACATATTCCCATAAGCTATGCCCCATAATCTCTAACCGTCTAAATTGAATGACTCTTGCGCCTTGTACAGGGTGAACATTATTGTAATAATAATAATTTGTAAATAATCATTGTAAAAACAGGAAAGAATATCTGCTGCATAGTAGAAGTCGTTTTATCTTCAATCATTTCACACCAAACAAGGCGATAAAGCCACTTTGACGCAAGGTAAAATAACTGTGAAGAAAGGAGAATAAAAAGAAATGGATACACGGAGACAAATGATGACAATTGACGTTGCATTTAAATCTTTAATGATTTTAGTTCACAAGAAAACAAGAAGAAGGAGTTTTATATAGGTGACAAGTACGAAGGAAAATTGCATTAGCATAGAACTTACTCGATATAGTCATTCCAATTCATATCAGCGGAAAAAAAAGTTAGACCAACAAAGTGCAATGAGTTAATGTACTTGAGGTTCGCATCAGCCATGGCAACGGGTGGGTTTAGTTTGGTTTAGTTTATTTTGTTTTACGGCATATCAACCTCAATGAGTTATTTAATGCCGACAAGATTTTTAGGATAGATTCGTATGAACAGAATATGTATTCTTTGGTTTAGATTGGTTTGGTTTATTTTGTTTTACGGCACATCAACCTCAATGAGTTATTTAATGCCGACAAGATTTTTAGGATAGATTCGTATGAACAGAATATGTATTCTTTGGTTTAGATTGGTTTGGTTTATTTTGCTTTACGGCATATCGACCTCAGTGGGTTATTTAATACCGACAAGATAGATTCGTATGAACAGAATATGGATTCTTTGGTTTAGATTGGTTTGGTTTATTTTGTCCCACGGCACACCAATCCCAATGGGATAACTCAATGCCGACAAAATAATTTATTGCTGGTAATATTTTGTTTTGTCAAAAATCTGATTCAGGTAATAATTTTCCTTCAAAATTGTATTGCTGGTAATAATTTTTTCAAAAAGTATTGCTGGTAATAGTTAACTATTTACCTATAGCTGGGACCCTAACAGGTGTTATCACCCAATCAGAGTGGACCTGGGAACACCAGCAATTAAGAGGTGGTTCCACGCTCCTCAAAACCTCCTGATCAGAGGCCTTGCTGCTGGACGTAGTTTATCGTCTTACCCAGGACGCGGATGTAGTGTAACGTCTTACCCAGGACGCGGATGTAGTTTAACGTCTTACCCAGGACGAGCCAATGGAAGGGGAAAAAAGGCGTTTAAACCCCCGGTAACAACGGATTGAAACTCATTTTTAAGATCAGCTTCCAATTCAATTTTACCGAACCTATCAAGTTTACCATTAAAACAGGAGTAAATATTTGTTTCACCAGCATATATACTGGGTTTTCTTTTGAGATCTGAAGTGAATCAGAATGTGAAAAGCCCTGGTATGTTAGCTATAGACTTTTTAATCGAACGCTTGTACCCAAAGAATCATGCAGAAAAAGTGGAATTGAAATATAAATATTCAGGGTCGTACTGGAATGCTGAAAAATATTGCAAAGATTCTAAATAAATCTAATATTGAAAAGCTTCTACGCATATGTCTTTATGTTGTAAATATGTTAAACATATTAGCTTATTCTGTGAAGCATCTATAAATATTACCTTATGTTGCGAAGCTTCTAAATATAATATCTTATATTGGGACGCTTCTATATATATATATATATATATATATATATATATATATATATATAAGCATATATTTTATATGTTCTAATGTTAATTATGTTTAAATGAAAATGTCCATGAAGATGGTCTTAAATAGACCGAAACGTCCGACGTCGACTTTATATTAACATTAATACTACATAATTGCATATTCAGATTTTTGTTTGTTTTTTCTGTATTTTTCTTGATATATATATATATATATATATATATATTACGAAGATTCTAGATATATTACTTTTTATTGCTTCCAAACATTGCCTTATATATAGTGCGATGTGTAAATTGTCGTCATTTTCTATTTTTAATTATGTGCATGGGCGTTGTTTGTTTTTGTTGAATGCACAACATAGTAGAATACCTTCACTCAATGCACTCCACCAGAAATTTAAAAA